CACCTACCTAAGTTCTCAGCCCATGAAGGTGTCGGACCTTGGAAATTTTGTCGTGGATTAGGATTCTGGGCAACTGGTGGTGGATTATAGGCTTCTGATTCAGAATCATTGTCTTCAGGAAAATTTTCTGCAAAATCATCATCTAAGGGAATTTCATGATTTTCTTATGGCTCTGCATCTTGTCCTTGATCGGGGAGGTACGGGTCTCCGGGTAAATGAAATCCAGCCATTGTTATCTAAGCGAGAATAGGGATAAGAGATATAGAATATAGTTAGTAACGATAGATTAAGGATACAATTTCTACGAGAGAGACTTACAGTTAACAAGTAATGTATTCTTTATGACTTGTTCTAGGTATTACTATAACTATAAAGTGTATACTAATTATATATAACTTGGGTATAACTGACCTTCGATTAAATGACCCGGCTCTAAATCCACAACCAAACAAGGAACAGGAAATGAAGCTAGATCACATATTCTAAGTCTATATAACTTTAATTATATATAACTGTAATATACCCTTAATATTTATAGTTCTACCCTCAATTGTTCTATTGTTTTCACATGTTTGTTATTAGTATATAGTGCCTAAAATACCCCTATAGTATTTTAATCTTTATGTTATGTTCTAGAGTTCTTCTGAATATGTATGGTTGGTAAGTTTTAGACATGTCGCAACACCACTATCACTCCCAAACACATGTTGGTCATATCTCAAATCAATATAGTTGATCAGGCTATATTAATCCCAGATATGATTACATAACTGCCCAGGTTTGACTGTAATGTCCAACATCCAAATACTTTTAAGTTCTTATGACTGTGATACTGTACTTGTAGGTATGAGTGTTAGTATACTTCTTGTAAAAATACTTAAATTTTAAAAGTATACTTGTAGTCAGAGCTCTTAGCCCCAAATGTATTTATAGTTTGTATATCTTTTATGGATTGATATACTGAGTTCACTATAAACAATGCTCTGATACCAATCTGTCACACCCCCAAACCAGACGGCGGAAACGTCCGGGGGTGGAGGACTTCATTTGTAGTATCACAACACATGCATTATAGTAATCAGAGTACAAACAACCACTGTATTTAAAAAGTATAAGTATTTACATGTGTTTCATCATTGTATATTGAAACCAAATAGTTATACAAAAGAAGAAGACAATACAGAAATAGCTCCATCTTCTCAAAAGCTCGGGGAATACTTGTCTACCGGTTCCCTGAGAATACAAGTAATTTGAAAAGAGAGTATCAACATAAATTTGAGTGAATGCATAAGTATTTATGTTTGAATGAATGTTATCTGTTTCTTGAATAAGTAAACTGTTCCAGAAAATCCTATATTTTCTGTTGTATATGAAAAGTAGTTTTAATTACATAAAACTGTTATGTTTGTAAACCAATGTTTTGTATTTGTATTCCTTTTGTAAACTTGTAACTGAGAGTGTGCCTGGTTTCATCAACTATTATTGTAAACTGTAATTTGTATCTTGTAAACTAGTACTTTGAAAATGTACTTATGTTTAGTTAATTATACACTAACGTATTGTTAATATCTTTTATATGAGTTATTATAACCATACTGACTAGATGGCCTGACCCAACGCTATGAATGCATTGAAAGCTGTTGATAACAACTATCACTCGTAGGCGTGTATGCCTGACTGTAGCTAGAAGTCTGAGTGCGAGGTTGTCAATCCCAATATAGATCTATACACACATTGTTTCGATCCCCGACTGGAGATTCTGGTTATAAAGTCGGGACTTTAACTATATTGTTTAAATGAATTAAACAACTTGTATCAAATGACTCATAAAAAGCATATAAACGTTACATGTATAATAGTTATGAAAACCCAATCATTCTGAAATAAATGATTGACAGTATGTTCTTGAATTAGTATTCTTAACATATATCTGAAAGATGTATATCCTTTATTAGTTTTGAATCAAACCTTTGTTTTTGTAAAACAATGTACTTTAGTATACTTGAATTATGAATTAATGTTCTGTGATTCATAAATTATACCTATTATAATTTATATGTACTTTCTGAATTGATACCGAGTATTCATGAATGCAACCCCTTGCTCAACATGTTACAAAGGGTATTTGAAATGAATGAAATAGCTTTTATACTTATATACATATACAAATATATATAATTAAAAGTTAAATGACACTCGGACAAATAACCGATACTTATAATCCCACATCCAAACAAGGAAAAGGAACCAAAGTGGGTTATCAGTCCTAAGCCTTTTAAATCTTATTTATATAAATATAGGTATATAAATATGATTTATGGGGGAAAATATAAGTTTATAAAACCATTTAAAAGAAGTTTAATATTTTGAAATACTTTTGTAGACTTAATGTCATTTTAACACAATCTTTGAAAACCATTTGCTTTGATAATAACTGAAATCTATTTTGATAAGATATTTGAAACCATTTGTTTATAACACAAAATCTTTGTGTTATGAAAATACGGGGGTATGAACTCACCTGTAGTGAGTGATTCAAATGTAAGATCGATATAGGATGCTAAGTGTCAAGTGAAGCCTCAAGCACAAACGGATCCTATTAAGCATATAATGACACATATATGGATATAATTAGTGTATATAACAACTAATCATGTTAGGGAACCACCCTTAGGGACTAGGAAACACTTGGATTGAAGTGTTACAATCACATGTGATTGCATTAAAGGGGTTCACGGCCAAGGAGTGTACGGTCAAGGAGTGTACGGCCAAGGAGTGTACGGTCAAGGAGTGTACGGCAAAGGAGTGTATGGTCGTACACTCATGGAAGAAACATGCAAAAGAGGTGTTTACGGCCCTATCTAGCATCCATTAAGTGTTCACGATCCTATGTTGGGACATAAGATGAGTTTCCGGCCAAGACATGCACCAAACAAGGGTTTACGGCCATAAGAGGAGTTTACGACCGTAAACTCTTGGAGTTCTTGCATTAGATGATGATTCAAGGCTAGGAATCAAGTGTTTCTGAAGCTTAACTAGAAGATAGAAGAGATACTCACACTTTTGAGGGCTCCTATGGAGTTCACGGCCCAAAAACAAGTGTGTGTTCTTGGTGTTCTTGGTGAAAGTGATGAAGATTTGAAGATCTATCCAAAAGAGATAATTTCATGGATGAAATCATAGAGTTTTACTAGATTAAGAAGGTTATCAACTAACAAATAGAAGAATCACTTACACTTTGGAAGATTAGGATGAAAAATCTTGATGATACTTGAGAGAGAATTAACTTTCTTGACTTGGATGTGTGAGAAGTGAAGGAAAATGAATGAATATCATATATGTGGGCATGAGTTCACGGCCACCTTGAGTTTACGGCCGTACACTCATGTTTGCGGTCGTAAACTCCTCTTGATGGAGTTCTTGGCTCGAAAGCAACACGATGAACTTAAGTTAACTTATCCCTAAACCCAAACCTTGAATGTACTAGGCTTAGAACACTCAAACAGACCCTAAACAATGCTAAAAGATAGCAGAAATGGGTCTGACTGTGATTGAATTGAATGGCTGTACAAGATAGAAATTTCGGGTTGTCACAGATTTCCACGTCGTGGCAGGTGCATGGCCACGACGTGGGGATCATCTGTGTTGACTTTTGGCTGTTGAGTTTGATCGTTGACTTTTTTACTAGTTTGACTTTTAGTCAAACTTTAAGGGGTATTAAGCTTTAGGCTGAGGTTTAGCCTGTCTTTGGTTTAGGAGGTTCGTGTATCTGATTCTGTGGGACTTTGAGTAGTAGATTTCAACTCTTCGTTCAGATGAGTCTTCTCACTGTATTACCTATGTCATAGTGGTGTGCATGTTAGACTAGTTGAGTCTTATTTGTTGATTGATTTTATATGTGTATATAATTTGCTGATAACTCTAGGACTGATGATCGTCTGTTGTGTTGCTGATAACCCACAGGGTTGCTAATAACCCATAGGACTACTGTGAGCCCATAGGATTGTTGATAGTTCCAGGGTTGTTGATAATCCATAGTTGTTTACTACCTCCATCCCATATTAATAGTTCATGTTTTCTTTTTGGTTTGTCCCAAAATAATAGTCTACTTATAAAAATAAATATCTCTTTACTAAATTACCCATCATTATTAGTTAACCTACCATGGAATTAAATGCAACAAAATGGTAAAACTATCATTTCATTTAATAAAGTTAGTGGTAATTAATGTTTTCTTAATCTGTGTGTTTTTGTTTATGGACAATAATTTTGGGACGGAGGGAGTATATTGTTGCGTTGTATGTGATTTTTAGGACTGCTGATAGTCCTAGAGTTGCTGATAACCCATAGTTGATTATTATGTAGTGTTATATGTGATATTTTGGAAAATTCGTTAAACTTTGTGCTTACAGTTGTGGATTGAATATTTTCAGGTACTTATCGGACTGCGAAGACGAGAATGTACACACACATCAACAGTTTTATGATTCGAGATTCCGCATTGTCTTCCTTATAACTCTGATTTTTGAATTATGGTTTATGAATAAGTCGTTTGACTTGAATGTAACTTTAATAAAAATGGGTGTTATTTAAATTTAAAAAAAAAAAAAATTATTCTGGAATTTGGAACGTTATAATTGAGAGCTCTTAACATCACTCTCATTGTTAAATGGTGGTGGCATATAAAGGTTGATCATTCCTCCCTATGTAGTCGTGTAATAAAAGGAATTCACAACCTCTCCCAAAAAACCGAAGAATTACTTGGCCAAAAAAGTTATTCCTGGAGTCCGAAACAACATTGCCAACATTAAAAATGACTTATATAAACTCAATATCCCTCCTGATCAAATCTTTAAGAAACAGGTCAAATCTGGAAATGATATTTTATTGGATACGCGGATTGGGACAGAGCCACTTAAAAACTCGTTTCCCAATTTATTTCGGATGGAAAAGGCGAGAAGATGCTTAGTGGAGGATAGAGTTAAAATTTAAGGGTCATCATGGGACGGGACATCGTTTTCCATCCACTAAAGGAGCAAGTTGCTTTATCGTCAGTTATTGGCAGCTTCCAACCATGTATACTCCCAGATTATTGGATATGTTGCATCACTCCATATGGTATGTATACGGTGGAAGCTCTTTGTCAACGAATCGACCACATTCCCATCCTCTCATCAGGTAATAAGTTTATATGGACTAAAGAAGTCCCCATCAAAGTGTCGTGTTTTGTTTGGAGAGCTAGAACATTATGTATTCCCTCAACGGTAGCACTGCAACATCGAGGTATTCATATAAGTTTATATGGACTAAAGAAGTCCCCATCAAAGTGTCGTGTTTTGTTTGGAGAGCTAGAACATTATGTATTCCCTCAACGGTAGCACTGCAACATCGAGGTATTCATATAAGTTTATATGGACTAAAGAAGTCCCCATCAAACTTCATTAATGTGGACAAGATCTTAGAGTTTGCTCCACAATGGGGACGTTGTCCTAAACAGAGGAAGACTTTAGTAAGTATCTTCTATGGTATTATGTGGTGGTTATGGAAGGCAACAAAGGACAGGCTGTTCCAAAAGCAATTCATCTCTTCAACTAAGGTCGCTGATAACATCAAATCATTGGTCTACATTTAGAATCAACACAAGAGATTTAATTGTTCAGATAATTGGGTAGGTTCGTGTGTTTGCTATTTTTTGTATTTAATTTTTGTACTTTTGCCTCTCTTTCCTTCCTTTTCTAACTTCTTGGTAACCTTAGGTAGGTTAGTTTTTTATTTTAACAATATTTACCGGTTTAAAAAAATAAAAGTAAACATCATATTAGTTAAAAATGCATACCTGTTACAAATTTTATTTTACAAGAACAAAACTACTCAACATTTTAAATTCTAGTCGTTGTCATTACGTTACGCAGAAAGAGAATTAGAGTAATTCGTCAAAAGTCAATCTTAAAGCTTTGACCATGTAATCATAATCAATTGGTAACTAAGGTGCAAACATTACACTGACAACTTAATTAATAATAAATAAATAAAATAACATAATACTCCAATAAATACTCCAATAAATCAAAAAAATATTCTCCGTAATGTCCACGCTCTCGATCGAACCAAGGCACCATACACAAATTTCATGTATTAATTAATAATTTTGATTTTCTAGTTGTGCTGTATTTCTATCAAGATGAATAATGAATAAAATTGATAGCAATTAAAAAGAAACTGGTTGTGCTAATTAAAACCTTCTAAAATATTTTACTAAAAAAAATATTCGCATCTTAATTTAACTAAGACATTAAGTATTTAATAGATTACAAAATAAAAGACTTAAATGAGGGTATATCAAATTCTTTATTTCACCATTACTAAGAAATTGCTAATTTAGATTGTTATATATAATTAATCTTGATTTTTTTACTTGTATTTATTTTTATCATGGTGAATAACCGGAAAAAATATTTTAAACTTACAGCATGCATTCTTTATAGATTTTTTTACGTATAATTCCTCTTTTCATTAATAATCGGAATTTAGTTGCAAAATGTATTTCATTTAATCTTTCGTAAATCCAAGAGCCAAGAAGTACCATATAAGGCGTGGGCTGCCTGAGAGCCCATAATTGTTTTAGGCCAATCTATTGATGGGCTATTTTGGGCCAATTTGAGGTTTACTAATTTGTCGCGGTGCAAAATCAGCAAATGAAGTTAAATATGATAAAAAAAAAAAAAACAAATTACAAAGGGATGCTATTTTTAGGCCATTTTAAGTTTTCATGCAATAACCTTGTTTGATAATAAAAAATTTAAACAATCTAATCATAAATAACTAAATATAAGAGAAGTTAACAAAAATAGAATATTCATTTAAGAAAAAGGGGGATTTTAAACATATCATAGTAAAAACTATTTTATTAAGTCAAAACCACCATTAGTCACATTAGTCATAATGGCGTCTAATCATTAACTATTTACATACTTATTATTATTATTATTATTATTATTATTATTATTTTCTAAAATTACGCTATACATATTAAAACCCAATTCAGTGTTTTCATTTATATATTAATGGTCCCTAATTTTTTTTTCTTTTATTCACAAATGGCCCCTAAAATTTATTTTCTTATTCATAAAGCATCCAAATTATAATTGTATTTTCATATATAAAGTAATTGTCCCTAAGGTCTTTTCATTTATTCACAAAGCATCCAAATTACAAAATTAATTATTTCTATTATTGACAAACATTTTGAAATTATTTCCTTGAAATTATTTTCCATTAAATTTTAACGTTTACATGTATTTCAATAATATTTAAAATATAGTCGTTTTTAGTTTATTGTTTTTACATTCGCTACGGTTTGCTAAGTGTAAATGTAAGTTTAGTCATCCACACCCTAAAGGTTAGGGTTTCGATTATCCTAAGTCCTTATTATGTTTTCTAAATGCATTTTTTTAAACATTTAATTACATGTATTTTGTAATATCTTAGCAGTTTACAACAAACCATCTGATTTTCATACCAATGCACGAGGGGACAACACTAGTTTATTTTATTGCTTGACTAAGTAATGGCGAAAACCACCATTATTTTATTTTTTTTATTTTTTTTATTTTACTATCATAAATGAAATCATAGTCCAACTTTGAGTTGAATATGTTTTGTGAGGTTAAAATTAAAATCATTTAGATGGTCAAATATTTGTAATTAATAAAGCATAATTACAATTATTTTTAATCAAATGCGACCACAATAAATAAAAATTATAGTTTTTATTTATCATTGTTTTGTCAAACACATTCAGATTTTAATCTTTATTAAAAATATGTTAATATTAACAATAAAACATCTAATATTAATAATGTTTAAATTAATTTTATTAATAATAAGAGACTTCAACTATATGAATGTTACAATTATTACGTGGCACATTCGGTGGAATATATGCATTTAAACGAGTATTATACATTATTTTTCATCTGGTTGAACGTTCTGATCTATTATGACGCCAAAATGGCAAAACTGTAAGCATTGGATGAAAGAACTTAAAGGACCATAATGTAAACATAGTTATATTATTTTAATTTGATTGTAGTGAGATTCATTTACACAATCTAGTAGAATTGGTTTACATATCACTTAATAAGGGAATGGGGTTTGGAGTTTTATAGTAAAATATGGGATAACTCAAATGACCATAAATTTAAATATATTTGTATTATTTTGATCTGGTCGTAATGATATTTATTTACACCGCACTCAATAAAAGAAATAAAATTTAGCATATTTATAATAAAATACGGGGTAACTTTAAGGACCATAAATGTACACATAGTTATATTATTTTTATTTGATCGTAAACATAGTCGTATTTAATTTTACTAATAACGACGTTTATATTCACAACAGAGTATATAATATTATGATGTATATGTATGTTTGCCGTTTTTAAAAAACTTAAAACTTTTTAATGAGTTATTTTTAATATACTTATTTAAAACCTATTATTTGTGAATTTGTGATGTTGAATTGTTTTTCATCACAAAGATAATATATATATATATATATATATATATATATATATATATATATATATATATATATATATATATATTAAATTGAAGTAATAAGGATGGAAACTAATTTTGTAAAATATAAAAGGATATAAATGGAAAATAAGCTTTAACTAGAAAGGGTAAAGATGTAAAATTTGTTTAATGTTTGATAAACTGATTGTTAGTGGGATCGAAAAAAGAATCTCCATATATTCGTTTAAATAATGTAAATTGTAATACGGGAGTAATCTGTAATTATTATCTAAGTCTCATCAATTGGGGTTATGTATTTTTTTTTTGAAAGAGAAGTCTCATCAATTGGGGTTATGTAACCCAAGTCAAAAGTGGTTTTGACCTTTAGAGTGGTTTTTGACCTCTAAATCGGGTGCGAATAACAACACCCAAGAAAAGACTGCTATTAAGAAAAATCTTCTATTCTAATAAAAGATTCTTCTTAAAATGACTGCTATTAAGGAAAAACTTCTATTCTAATAAAAGACTCTTCTTATTTTTACGTGGCATCTTCTCAAGCTAATGAGATTTCAAAGTAAAATGCCTAATATGCCCTTCAGCTTTTAATACCCCAAACTCTATCTACTCATCATTTATTCCTCAATACCCCAAACTCTATCTACTCATCATCTATTCCTCAAATGACGCTCCAATTTCGTGTTCTTCGGTTTGGAAACTAAATAACGATTCAAAGATAGCTTACAATAGTATGAGAATTTTAATTTTAGTTTTGAAATCATATTTTTCCTACACGCTGATGTTTTTTTTAACCCTAGAAGCAGTTCTTCTACATTTTTTCTTGACAAAGATGGTGGTTTTAGAACATAGAACGTTGCCAAAGCTTTGAAGAATACGAAACAAATTTCTAATTTCAAACCCCTCACACTCTCTCAACCCGAAGGCTTCCAAGATTTCACTCTTACTGCCAAGATTTCAAACGATTTCACCATTCCATATGCAACAATCGTACACACTGCGTAAGATTAATCACACTCTCCCTCTTTCTCTCTTTACTATAAAACCGTCGTTTTTACCGTTTTCAATTTTTGTTATTGCTCTTCCCTCACTATATCCCCTTTCTCTCTCCATGTTACTCTTTTTGGTTGTGTTTTTCTCCTAAACCCTAAGATTTGGGGTTGATTTGAATTCAGTTATGTTTTTTTCTTATTAAATGGTTAATTTGCATTCGATGATTTAGGTTTTTTTTCATCCAGAATTACTAATGTGCCAAAGTTGTTTCAAATTCCTTGAAAACGATATTAGATTGTCAAAGATCAAGTTCTCAAGTTGTGCACTAAAATTGGATGCTCCATGCCGAAACCAAGTGTTGATTTGAATTGTATTTTCCAATTTATTTTAGTCAGCACACATCAAATTTCCCTTATAGGTAAACATTCTTACCCTATCTCCTTTTTTCTAATTATCACAAATGGAGTTTATTTTTAATGTATGTAGTCTTTGTATTTAATACTTCGGAATTTATTGCCATTTTCAGGAATTATGTTTGTCAATTTGTTCCAAGTAAAATGCAAGGTAATTAACACTTGAGTTGGTACGTTAGCTAAAGACGACATAAGAGTACTATTTTTCTTTATACTTAGATTCATATCTTGAATCTAATAAACATCTTGATTACAATTTTTTATACATTAAATAGATATTTATTTCAATTCTTCATATTTCAATCTTTTTTTAAACGGGTAAAGTAATCATTGATTATAGCAATGTACTTTAAAAGTACATTGCTATTTTTATGCTAAAATCAAGAGAAGAGGACCACATGAAATGAAAGTACATTGCCTTTTCTTTTAAGAAAAAAGTCCATTTTTTCAGCAATGCACTTTCATGGGGTTGTCTTTTTTATTTGATATCATCTTTTTAAGTTTGGGCTAAATGCAAAAAAATAGAAACATACTTTTATTTTTTTATGTTTCTTGTAACATCCTTGTGTGTATGTTCTGTAAAAGGAAACTTTCTTAAAATGCCTTTGAACCCTTTTTTCATTATATGTTGGTGTTATATATACCTGTAATGAGTATTTACAATGCTAATTTGAACTAATTGTCAGCTGCCTTATCTAATTTTGTTTATATGAAATTTTCAGTTTATAATTCCCTAGAGAAAACTTTAAAACCGATTATTTTTTCATTGTTAAATAGTACTTATTTTTTATGTATGGATCATTAGTGGGTCAAGAATGCGAATATGGCTTCTATAGAGTATGGAACGGGGTAAAAGAATTTCTTAATCTCGAGACTACAAGATATAAATGTCATTACTGCCCATTTGATTAGTTTAGAAATTGATAAGTCAGTGGATGCATCATGGTGAGCATGAAGTCGCAATAGAAGACGTTGGACCCAATGATTTTTCTAATGAAGAATATGTTTGCTTAAGAGCAGGATTAGCGGATTCAATTGATCATCCATTATTTGATATTACTAATTAGAGGATGCAATTGATCATCCATTATTTGATATTACTCATTTATTATTTTTAAATATCATTTTTATAATATATATTTATATAGGAGTTTGATTTGTACAAAAGAAATCCCTAACTTAATAAAAGACTCAATAGCCACGTGCCCATTTATACATCCAGTTTTTGTCCATTGTGATTTGACCATTTTTCCATTCTTCTGTTTCACGTTATACCCACACCTACGCTTTTTTATCCTGCACATAAATTATTATTAATAGATGTAACATCCCGGGCTTTCAGGTATTTTCAAATCCTTCCTTTGGTTTTTAAATATGTTATTTTGGGTCCTTGGAGTATAAAGATGTAGCCTTAAGAATCCCTAGTAGCAAAATGGTAATATTTTGGAGCATGAGTAGTACGTTGGGCGTACATGTGAGTATGCTAAGCGTACTAGGGTGCGCCCTAGTACACTGGGCGTACACATATGTACATTGGGCGTACTAATGTTCGGGTGAAACCCTAATTTTTAGTGTTTGAAGAGTATTTAAGCACCTTTATGGATCATTTAGCCTCACTCTTTCAACCTCCAAGTCCTTGAGCCGTTCTTAGCAAACCCTAACCCCATAAGAGATTATTTTGAGCTTAAAGTGTGTTATTTGTGTGCTTAAAGGAGAAGGAAGTGCATCAAGGAGTCAATGAAGGAAAGCAAGCTTGTAGATCTTGGATCATCATTTCCGTAGGAAGCTCCAGAAGGTAAAAAGTTGCTACCTTTATGTCTGGTTTGCTTAGATCTCATCTTGGTAGCTTTATGATGTTCTTTTGTCCCTAAAAGTCCCATTGTTGTGCATGTTTGATTTTGGACGTTTTCGGTTGTCCTTCTAGACCCTAGGAAGGGTCCTTAGTCATAAAAATGAGGTCCCAATGGTAAGAAGTGTCTCATGAATTTGGAAAAATGGTCTTAATGGATTAAGACCTTGTATTAAGAACTTATGGACGTGTAAAGTCATAAATTTGGATACTTTATGACTCTAGGGTGCATTTGGATGATGGATTTGTAATATGGGCTTAAGTGCTTAAGTAATTAAGCACTTAATGAACTTTTGGGATTTACAAGGGTACGCCCTGTGTAGGGAGGAGCACGCCTCGCGTACTCAGTCAGCCACCCCGATGGTGGTCAATGCGAGGCTCACGTACGCCCTGCATACCTCCGGTGTACGCCTAGCGTACGTCATCTGTGGACTTTTGAGTTTGGGCTTCGAGTTTTGGGCCACCTTGTGGGCTTGAATGTCTTGGGCCCTCTTTGGACTTTCTGAGTATGAGTGTTTTGGGCCAATTTGAGAGTTGGACCTTAGGATAAGGCACAATAAGGGGTTGGGCCCAATTTGGAAAATTGGGCCAATTATGGGTCTTGAAGTAATTTGGGACTTTTGGATCAAAAATTAGACTTGGGCCTTAGCCCAATTGAGGAAAGGGTAAAGTGGACATTTACCCTAAGCATGGATCCTTAGTCAAGGATGGTAATCCAATTGTTAATTGGATGTTTGTTTTGTTATGATAGTTCGGGATTTTCGTGAGCCAGCAGTCGGAGGTTTCAGTGTGGTTCGACATTGTGAGGTGAGTTTTCCTTACTGTACTTGCGGGTCGAAGGCACTAAGGTTGTCCCTTTGGATTTGATATCATGTTATGTATGCTATAGTGTTGTAGTGATCTGTTAGATCGGCATCCTGGTATTTAGGATGTTGCTATGCTTAGTCATCTATAAGATCTGTCTGTTTGTTTGTTGGCTGGTTAATAGTATGTTTATCTGTATTATGTGCACGTGATTGGTGGGTGGTTGAGGCTTCACTGCTTTGTGCGTAAGACAACAGGCCGGGGTATTCCAACCCGACGGTTGAGGGCCTAGGGTATTCCATCCCGAGGATGATTGGACCCATAGTATGTTGGCATTCCAACCCGATGGTTGAGGGGCCTGGGGTATTCCAACCCGATGGTTGATTGGACCCAAAGTATGTTGGCATTCCAACCCAATGGTTGAGGGGCCTGGGATATTCCAACCCGATGGTTGATTGGACCCATAGTATGTTGTTTTGTATTTGTGTTATTTGTTATGTATTGGTATTTTGGGGGAACTCACTAAGCTTTGGGCTTACAGTTTTGGATTGTGTTTCAGGTACCTCAGGGGATCGCGAGAAGGCGAAGGCATGATCGTGCACCTCCACATGTTTTTGTTATATGATTTTGGGATTTCTCTGATATTGAACTTATTTTGAAAACAATTTGTAAACAATGATGGTTTTTGGGTTTGTTTAAAAGTTTAAATTTTTCATGAATTTTATGGATGTTACAAGTTGGTATCAGAGCCTTGGTTTGAGTGAATTGGAGGAACACTCGTTTGAATCTAGTCTCAAAACTAAGGAAAAGATTTTCAAATGGTTTTCAAAATAATCAAGGAGGATGAAATGTGTACGATCAGCTGGAGCCAGTAAGTAGACCCCAAAATACCATACTGTTATCTGATATTGTGATATGTTAGAACAACATGCTAGTAATAGGCTAGGGATCTTCAGGTTTTGCATGATAGAGTTGCCTGATTATATGATGCGTGATAGCCTAAGGATTTTCATCGGGGTGACAACACTGCTTAGGGGATACCTCAACAATTTATGTCAAATAAGGCAACCATGAGGGGGATGGAGTACTGCTGGCGAACACTAAGTTCAAATAAATACCTACAAGTTGCGAGCCTGCTAGCGTTCCACTGGAAACACGGTCGTTACAACTCTCTCCCCCCTTAGGATGATTCCGTCCCGGAATCACGCATCAGCGTGTAGATGTGGATAGCGACTCATCATGTCACTCTCTGTTTCCCAGGTGAGGTTCGGCCCATTCGTATGTTTCCATCGCACAAGCACTAAGTCGACCATCTTGCGTCATAACTTCTTTGTCTTACGGTAAACAATTGCCTCAGGCTCTTCGGTTAGCCTGTTATTTTCATCCATCCTTAACTCTGAAATTGGAATTATGTCGGGAACTTCTCCCATGAACTTCCTCAAATATCACACATGAAAAGTGTTATGAATACCATCAAGTTCTTCTGGTAATTCGAGCTTGTAAGCTTGGTTCCCAATCCTCTGATGAACTTTGAATGGTCCAATAAACCTTGGACTTAGCTTTCCTCTCTTTCCGAATCTTATAAGTCCCTTCTAAGGTGAGACTTTAAGCAAAACTGAATCTCCAACTTCGAATGTAATTGATCGTCTCTTTTTGTCAGCATAGCTCTTTTGACGATCCTAAGCTGCTAACATCCTTTCCCTGATCACTTTCAGCTTTTCAGCAGTCTGATGGACTATCTCGGGGCCTATAAACTGCTTTTCTCCAGCCTCAAGCCAACAAGACGGGGTACGACACTTCTATCCGTATAAAGCTTGATAAGGTGTCATCTTGATGCTCGAGTGGAAACTATTATTGTAGGAAAACTCTACCAGAGGTAAGTGCTCATCCCATTTACCTTGGAATTCCAGGGTACATGCTCTTAGCATATCTTCCAGTGTTTGAATCGTTATTTCGCTCTGACCATCAGTCTGCGGATGGTAAGTTGTACTTAAACACAACTTCGTACCCATTTCCTCTTGTAGACTCCTCCAAAACCTTGAAGTGAAACGACTATCACGATCCAATACAATCGTTAAAGGAACGCCGTGAAGTCTTACTACTTCCTTCACGTAAGCATTTGCAAGCTTATCAATAGACCATCTCTCATTGGCTGCTATGAAGTGTGCACTATTAGTGAACCGATCCACGACTACCCAAATCATGTCGTGACCATTCTTTGTTCTGGGCAGTTTAGTCACAAATCCATGGTGATGTTTTCCAATTTACCCATGGGTATAGGTAAAGGTTCTAAAATCTCATACGGTTTCTGATGTTGTTCCTTAACTCTTGCACATGTTACACACTCAGCCACATACTTTGCAACATCGAGCTTCATCATCGGCCACCTGTAGTATGGCTTTAGATCCCTATACATTTTAGTGATGTCGGGATGAATCGAATACATAGACTTGTGAGCTTCTTCCATCAGAAGATCTCTTACTCCTCCCATCTTAGGTACCCAAATCCTATCTTGGAATACCTTCAGTCCTTAACTATTTGTACCGAACACTAACGTTTTGCCCAAACGTACTTCCTTTCAGTTATTTTTCTCTGAAGCTTCTTCCCGAGCTTTCTTAATACTTTCCACAATCGTCGAGACAACTTCGATTCTTAACGCTCTTGGCCTTTTCTTTTCAAGGTTTACTTTTCGACTTAGAGCATCAGCGACAACATTTGTTTTACTAGGGTGGTAAATTATCTCACAGTCGTAGTCCTTGAGTAACTCTAAACAACGTCGTTGCCTCATGTTTAATTCCTTCTGATTAAAGAGGTACTGGAGACTCTTATGATCAGTGAAAAGTTTGCACTTCGTGCCATAGAGATAATGCCTCCATATCTTTAGGGCGAATACTACCGCTGCCAACTCCAAATCATGAGTGGGGTAGTTCTTTCCGTGCTCTTTCAATTGTCGAGGTGCATATGCCATCACCTTTTCCCTTTGGGTCATAACACAACCTAAGCCAACTGCAGATGCATCGCTATAAACTGCAAAGTCTTCAACTCCGCCGGGTAAGGAAAGAATTGGTGCTTCACACAACTTTTTCTTTAGCTTCCCGAATGCTTCTTCATGCTTCTCACTCCAAGTATAAGTAGCTCATTTATGGGTCAAAGCTATCAATGGAGTAGCTATCAAAGAAAAGCCTTGGATAAACCTTTGATAATATCCAGCTAATCCCAGAAAGCTTTGAATCTCTGTGGCACTTTTCGGTCGTTCCCACTTCATCACAGCTTCGATCTTTGCTGGGTCAACCATTATTCCATCCTGGTTAACCACATAACCCAAGAATTGGACTTCTCGAATCCAAAAATGGCATTTGGAGAACTTTTCATACAGCTTCTCCTTCTTCAAGACTTCTAATACTTCTCGTAGATGCTTGCCATGCTCCTCCTGGATCTTTGAGTATATCAGAATGTCATTTATGAACACTATCACGGATTTATCGAGGAATGGTTTACAAACCTTGTTCATCAAATCCATGAATGTTGCGAGAGCATTGGTTAGTCCAAACGACATAACCAAGAACCCATAGTTTCTGTATCTTGTTCTGAACGTAGTTTTCTCAATATCCTGCTCTCTCACCTTCAGCTGATGATATCCTGACCTAAGATCGATCTTTGAGAAATAGCACGAACCTTGCAGCTGATCGAACAGGTCATCAATCCTTGGCAATGGGTACTTGTTCTATACCGTTGCCTTGTTCAGCTCTCTATAGTCTATGCACATCCTCATGCTTCCATCCTTCTTTTTTACGAATAACACCGGAGCTCCCCAGGGTGATGAACTAGGTCTAATGAAACTGTTGTCCAACAACTCCTGAAGTTGCGTCATAAGCTCCTTCATCTCCGTCGGTGCTAATCGGTATGGTGCTTTTGCTATTGGTATCGTTCCTGGTAACAAGTCTATCCGAAACTCTACTTGTCTATCAGGCGGTAATCCAGGAAGATCTTCGGGAAAGACTTCCGGATAGTCATACACCACTGGTATACTTTGTATCTCCTTCTTCTCCTTCTTAGCATCGATCACAAATGCCAAGTATGATGTGCTTCCTTTGGACAAACATTTTCTCGCTTTCATTAGGGAAATGGTTCCAGTATTCACTCTGCGTTTGTCCCCGTACACCATAAATGACTCTTTTACAGGTGGGTTTACCCTTACTATCTTCTTCCTGCATAGTATGTCGGCATCGTTGGCGCTAAGCCAATCAATTCCCACTACGATGTCGAAACCATTCAACTCAATGGGTAATAGCTCTTCGTGGAATTTGTTTCCGTTTAAGACGATGACGACATTCTTAATGCAATCGCTAACAGGTATGAATTTGCCACTGGTAACTTCTACAACTAGGGCATCATCAAGTTTATCTACATGCAATGCTAGTCTTCCACCAAATTTATGTGATACAAAGGAGTAGTTTGTTCCCGAATCAAACAGTATATTGGCAGGCAATCCATTTACAAGAAAGGTACTTGAAGCGACATCCGATGTATCATTCGCGGCTTCTAGTGTCATCTGGAAAGCTCTGGCTTTTGGCTTTGGTGGGACATTGGGCCTTGTCGCCTCCTTCTTCTTCAGGCAATCCTTAGCAATATGACCTTCTTCATTAGATCCATAGCACACCCTTTTTTTGGCGGTGCACTCGTTGGCGTAATGCCCTGTCTTCCCACACTTGTAGCAAGTTACCTCCTCGTTACATTACCCGAAGTGCTTCTTTCTGCACTTCTCACACCACTTTGCTTCGTTTCCTCCTCCTCCAAACTTCCTTGAACCAGACTTGCTTTTCTTATTGGGCCTTGCAGACCCTTCAAATTTCTTCTTTTTTCCAACCTCAACCTGGCTAGCGGCTCTTCCCTTGATCATCTCTTCAACAAACATGGCAACCTAGATAGCTGTCTCTAGAGTAGGTTCTTGGCGTCTATGAAGTTGTTGGTGTATTCATCGATAGACATGGTTCCTTTCTTGAAAGTCAGGAATTGGTTCTCTAGTTCAAGCAGATTTTGGGCCGAGCAGTACTTGCGCTTGAAGTGCACTAAGAACTCTGCCCATGTCAGTTGCAGGGGCTCATTGGGGCTTATAGTCTTCCCAAGAGTGTTCCACCAGCGAACAACGCCACCTCTAAACTGACGCACTGCAAATGTGGTTTGTAGATTGCCTTTGCAACCACATGTCATGATGGCTAATTCCATCTCCGAGGTCCAATCCATTACTCCGATGGGATCCTTCTTCCCAGTGAAATTTGACGGCTTGAAAGTCATAAAGTCCTTATACTTGCATCCGTTTCTATCGACTCCGTCCTCTTGGTTATTTCTCCTAACCACTGGCGGTCAGCTTGACCAACGGTCCTGCTGTAGTTTCCCTCCTCTTATTACCCATCATTCAGTTCTGGCTGTTCGACAGGCATCGTGGGTTCATCCCTATTATTCTCATGCAACATCTGCCTCATTTCTTCTCTTTGTTCAGCTAACATAGCCCGAATCATGGCTTTTACTTCAGTCATTGTGATTGGCTCAGGTGGAGCTTCTACTACAGGTATTGGCTCCATCACTTGGGGTTGTGGTTGTTGGTTTCTGTTTCCATTCACATTTCCAACTCCACTGCATGTTCTTGCCATTTCGATCTATACACCGAATAAGGTGAATTTAGATCTTTATTTACGATAGACCTTTAAATCATCCT